CAAAAAAAAAACATATTGAGTGATGGTAAAGTGTGCAAGTGTGTGCGTGCTTTTAATAAGGACGGGAAAATGTGCATGATGAATCACGGTATGGCCGACCATCAGTGATTTCAGAAGATTTGGTCAATGCGGTTGAACAAAAAATCGTTAAGATTGACTATTCACTATATCAGATCAAAACAAATGATGATGATAAAGAAGAGTTAAAAACTGGTTATCTTTGCAGGCAGCCGATTTCTACAACTTAGGCATTCAAAAGCTTTTTGAACGATGTGACAATTGTTTAAATAAGCATGGGAATTATGTAGAAAAATAGAAAAATATGCAAAGAATGTAAATAAAACAATTATTGTTTTGGAAAAAAATAGATTTTTTATTTGTTAATCTTAACCGGACCTTACTTTTGGAATAACCCTCGTAATATTACATTGTCATCCATTTGTGAGCTATGTTAGCTGATGTAGACAAAGATATACTGTATACGTAGAGAAAGACGACCCATAATGACAATAAAAAAAATATTTAAATTTAAAACTTTGTCAAAATATGAAGTAAAATCCACTATCAATGAGATAACTTCCAGAACTCTCGGAATAGATCAAATAATTAAGTAGCCTATATCAAAGTGTTTTGGTACGGTTATTGGTAATGGAGAAAATTCTAAATTAAAAACTCCCATGTTTTTCTTATGGAGAATATTGTAAAATGTTGTACTTTGCTTGTTTAGTTATATATTTTGATAAAACATGGCAAATATATTAGTTTTATATTAAGCTATTAATATTTTACTAAAAAATACACTTTATTAGCGAATTTCCCATATAGGGAATAAGCTATTACCGTAGTACTCATGGTAAGACCTGGACGCGGGACAGATTTTTTGTTTTGTTTTGAGGTTCCTATAGGCGAAAAACACCATCCGTTCAAATTCATAAATATATATATGTGTGTCCGTTAGCACGATAACTCGAGCAAAAATGATCCGATTTTGATGAAATTTGGTACAAACGTGTAAACCTACTTTTATTTGAACGAGTTCGCGATCCAGCATGATCGGACGATGGGAACGGGGGTTTACAGGGGGTTTTATGGGGTAAAAATAGGTTTTTCCCATTTTTTACCCAAAAAACATAAAATTTAGCAATTTCTTTCCAAACCATTTTGTAGAGCTTAAAAAACAAATAATTTAGTATATTGAAGCGTTATTATGCGCCTAATGGTTACGGAGAAAATTCAAAAAATTGTAAATTTAAAATTCCTATTTTATTCTTATGGAGAATAAGTAAACTGTTGTAGTTTGCTTGTTTATGAACATATTTTGATCAAATTTGGAAAATGTTTTTATTTCTTACTAACTATTAACATTTTACAAAAAAAAAACAAAAACAGTTTTACCCTCCCTGATGCAGCAAACCTAAGTACTTGTTAAACTAATTCTATTTAAATAGGGAATAAATGTTATATTTTTAAGTAGACATTTCAGTGTAAATCCAATCAGTCAAATGGAAATTCGCTTAGTCTGCAGGTTTGCTGCGGCGGGGGGTATTAGTTTCCTTGTATCAGCAAACATAGCACTTGTTAGACCTAATGTTATTTAAATAAATTTAATTGAAAATCAATTCAGACAAAAGAAAATTTGCTTAGTCGGCAGGTTTGCTGCGGAGGGGGTATTTTGTTAATTAACTTCCATTGTAACTACACGTTTTGCACTTTATTTCAATCCTTTAACCTTTAAATTTGACAGTTTGGCAAGTATTTTAAAACCACCCGATCCATCTGCGCCACCCTGTATGGCCCTCATAATTATACAGTAGAATCTTGATAACAAGACCCTCAAAGGGATTATAAAATAAGATGTTATCAAGGTTGACTTTTTATCGAGGTTTGCAATAACATGTGATAAGGGGTAAACTAATTTCAAGGGGATTTAAAAACAACCTTTTTAATCAAGGGTGACTTGTTATCGAGGGTCTTGTTATCGAGATTCTACTGTAATATATTTAATCAAATTTATCTTGATAATATCATCAATAAGGAAACAATGAGGAAATATAACCCTCGTGAATACAACTATAAAAGTGAATTGTTGGGTAAAGACTATTTAGCAAGGCCTAACTCAATATTGTTTTTCAAAAAATGTACTTATTGTATTATTTGCCAAAACCGCAATTAATTGATTTGATGATTTTATTTTGCTGATACTGTTTCAGTTTAATTGTTAGGTAATATTTGTTTAATACTACTCCTGACTGAACATTATTCAAATTCCTCAACATAAATAATAACATAACCTCAATTATTAATAGTAGCACAAAGTCCGCCATTTGCGTCAATTGCATCTTGCATGTAGTGTGGCTGAGCGACAGAAAATTGAACTAGTCAGACAACAGCTCCGATGTTGTCTAAACCTGAGAAGCAGGGTCAGGCTGTAAGGTCGAGTATCGAAAAAGGTCAAAATATCGTACACTTTGTGGGAAATAAGGTATGAATATGGTGCATCTTTCAGAGGGGTTGGCCTGGTCATTGTCCTGGGCTAACCTCTGTCAGGTAGCCTGCCTATTATGAGACTTCATTTGGCGTTCTAAGCCACCTGGAGGGGATCTTAATTTACAGACAACCATTGTAATATAATTTGCTTAGAGGCTACCAGATAAATTCAAAAACTTGCACTGACATTTTCTTTTTAATTCATTGTTGGTGATGGTGAGTTAATGTTGTTCAAAGGTTAACTGCGGACATTTTCCATCACGATGGTAAAAAACAATACACAAGTCAAAAAAATAATGCATATTATTTACTGCTACCTTCTGTAGTGTATTCCAACTTAGGTTGGGCGTTTGTGTATTGTTAGTTGTAATGTGTTAGTTAAGTTTTTTTCACCTAAGGACGGGATCAGATTCCAGATCCCGAAACGTTGTGTATTGTTTTTTATCATCGTGATGGAAAATGTCCGCAATAAACCTTTGAACAACATCGCACTGACAAATAACTTGGTCAAAATATATTGTCAATACCCCACTGAATCTTCAAAATGGAATTTAGGATTTGTTTAGGAAGATCATAAAAGCAGATTTTTTTGGCGTTGATAAGAGTCAACGGTCTAGAGCCAGAATAGTGGCAACATCACAGCAAGCCTCAAAACTCAGGGGAGCAGTGTAGGGAGACCGCAGTGATGTTCCTAAATGTAGTAGACATACCTCAGCCCGAAGAGGCACAATTCTGATTCCTGACTAAGTCAAGATAATAGAGGTGTGCAAGTAGCCCGACTGAGTCCAAAATTTCAAGTGATAGAGCATCAAGTTAGAAAATCGAGCCAAACAGAGCCTTTATTCTTGTAATTGTAGTAAGGGTTTGCAAAGATTGGGCAACTGAAAATTTCCAAAGACAATTAATGTGACCCCATTACCATGCGAGACAATGATGACGTCTCCACGATGTTAGTTACATTTTTACTGCCATCGCAGAAAACAATAATCATGTCTCCATGACTGTGGGATATGTTCACGACTTTTCCGCAATCACGGAAAACAGTTTTAGGGTGTCACAGAGTAAGCTAAACGAGGTTTTTGATGTTTGATGTTTTGTTTAGACTCAAATATAATCACTATTTTTTATGTCCACTCTGGATTTGATTTAGCTACACCTTTTCACTCTTATGTGGTGGGAAAATCAAAATTGAAATAAATAATTCCAATTTTAAAGATTCTTTCCTTTTGATGTAAAAGCATAAAAAGTTTTTACTAAAACAAAACCAACTAATGTTTTGCATTTACTCATTGTACGTTTTGTTCCATTACATACGATCAATTTTCACTCCCACCCGTTCAAATACCCTCTTTTAAAATTTCTCTTTTACAATTTTAAAAAGTTATATTTCCTATTCTAAAACCCTCCCAAAAATAAATCTCTTTGGAGGATTAATGTTTAACTGGTTCTGGACAAGCTAGAGAAAAAATATTTTGTAGGTATGGCGGTAAAAAAATATAGAATATCCAACATTTTGTTGTTCCGTCATGATGTCAGGTGTAGGGTCGGCGACATTCAGCTGATCAGCTTTTCCCAACCCTCATATTTTATTTTATCCTGGTTAATTTTTAGTCCAACCTTGTTTGGGAGATTTTTGTTAGGCTCTCTTAATACTTTCTTTCTTTCTTATTAAATTGCGATCATACAAAGTAGGTATTTTAAGCCAAGTATGAATGGAGATGAGTATAGGATGAGTGGCGCGATCTTGTAGTCTTGTTAGTGACTAAGGCCGACATTCGACTCTAGGTAATTTCGGTACTCTGCAAGAAGTTCCACAACAACAGCAAACGCTAGCTTCTGATACATTTATTTATTTTGCCCTCAATAGTATATACAAAGAATTTAACATCAACCTTATTTTTAAGTAGGACTTTGCTTGAAGCACTCTTTTTTCAACCAATCCTAGGCTCTCAATTTTAAATTTGAAAGAGCAATTTTATACATTCACACAGTGCTTGATTTGTAAAAAATGAAGTGCCTGAACTGTAACCTTTTTAATGTGATCAGTACCTATTAAAGTACTTATTTATGCCAAAAATTTTTTGTTTAAAAAGAGAGGTATCGGACCTCCGTTCCGCCGCGTTCCCCCACAAATTGAGCACTGCATTCACATGTCTGAACAGATTAATTATAAATGATGCAGGTTCAGCAAATACCACAAATAAAGATCAAGACCAACCAGGGCAATGTTTATGAAATTGATAGCTACTCTTGTTGTGTGATATTGACCCCTTTCCCTCCTTATTTATAATGTGTGTGTTCTAGTTCACATTCTAAACAGTTAACTTAACTAAACGGCTCTACTATCATCAGGTGATTCACAATATTAAGTGAAATATGTTTAAAATAGGAAGAACACAAAACTATTTCAAGACACATGAAACTAATTTTTAAAATGTTTTTTCTTAAAGCAAAGAAAATATTTTTACTAAAACATGACAGATTAGAAGAGGATTAGGGTGGTTTTTACTTACAAGGATTCCCCTTCTGATAGCAGGTCTGATGGCAATAATTTCTTCATCTTCACTGCTAGATGAGTCATCATCACTGGCGACCACCTGTAACAGATAGCAACTGTCAGTAGGATCAAGAAGGTATTCTTTCTGGGTAAAAACTGCAAAGTTGGTATTTTATATACCTTAAATAAATACAACGACGGCATAATTAGACTTTTCCACCAAAATCACTCTATTATCCTCTTCTTACCCTGTTTGGATTTATAAATAACCTATTACATAAGAGCACTATTCAAACATCTCCATGGTCCAATTATCACCACGCTGGGACTTTTTTCTTCTCCTTTGTTTTATTTATAAAGATGTTAACTTATTGAACAGGTTTTAAGGCGTTTATCCACTTTTAAATACCAGCATCCGAACAAAAAGTTAGTAAACGTATCCGATCCGTAACACTCAGTAAAACTTCCGCCTTTGTTGTATTGATGAAGATTTTTACTTATTGTATACGTTCCAAGGCTTTTTCCAATTTTGGAGTATGGGTATCTAAACAAAAAAAAAATATTAAATGCGCAGCTCCGAAAAAACTTCCAAAACTTAACACTCACAGAACAAAAGCATACTTTTTTAGATTATTTATACAACTAACCAACCAAAACAGATTCCAAACAAGCAGATGGTAAAAATAGCACAATTCTATTGTGGCACAATTTCTTTAACTTGTGACGTTATCCAGTATTAAGTTAAGTTTCAAACTAAAAGTACACTTAGAATGTCGGTTGGAAGACATTAGCATTATTTCCCCCAAACTATTCTCGTGAACTGATGAGTAGGGCTATCCATAGAGCTTTTAGAAATTAAGACCATGATTTTATCAAGGTACTTTTTTGCAGGAGCAAGTTTACCCTAATACAGTAGGACCCCTCATATCTGACCTTGGGCAATAATGTCGAGCGTGATCGGTTTACCAAAAAGCCGATCATGGATGTTGCCATAATCGCGGCAGATAATCACTGCTGTCGACAAGACTGCAAGTCATGCTCCCGGGTGTGGCAGTGGTCATGTGGGACGGTTACTGGTGTCCCGGAGACCGTAAGATATGCATATGGTAAAATGAGCTATAATGAATGGGTCATTACTTAAAGATTATGCTATTTACCGACAACCTCAGCTAGTCCAAATATCAAAATTTAAAACTAGAGCTATTAACACAAACACAAACCATCACTTTCTCATTTGAGTGAGCTATCCCATGAGAAAATACCCCCGCTGCAGCAAACCTGCTGACTTAGCGAATTTCCATTTGCCTGGATTGATTTTCAATTAATCTATTAAATTAACAAATTTATGTTTAACGAGTACCTAGGTTAGCTGCAACAGGGAAACTAATAAAGTGTGTTTTTGATTAAAATGTCAATAGCTTAGTATGAAATAAAATAAATCCGCCAAGTTTGATCAAAATATATCCATAAACAAGCCAACTACATCATTTTACAATATTCTCCATAAGAATAACATGGGAATTTTAACCCTCCGAGTGTTATGTGTCGAAAAATCTACACATAACACACTTTGTGTAGTGTTTTGTGTCGATTTTTCGACTCACAAACACTGTTTACGGCGAAGGCTCTATGACTGACAAAATCGGATTGAACTGGATCGAGTTAGGTATCGTTTTATTTGGCAGATTCTAAGCTTTTTCCTGAGGTCTTTCTCAAAGCGCTTTTTTTCTCGAGCCGATCATAATTGTAGCAGACAGCTGACGTGCGTATTTGTAAACAGCTTGGTTAACCTCGCACCGATGACTGATGTGTTTTATTACGTTTTTCATTGTTTTAGTGTTAAAAATCAAAAGTAGTGATATACGTGGTGCATTATAAGAAGATTTAAGTGATTTTGAAGGGCTGGTTGATGATCCTGAAGAAGTAGGTACGGTAGTGATATTGATGTAAATTATCAGCCAGATTCCTAGCTATGGTTAGGCTATGCATTCTTAGCTAAACGCTATGTACTGAAATCTGTTTTTTGCCCATAACTTATTTATTTGCAAATCTACTTCCTTATATTATTATATATTTGTAATCCTCATAAAATTTAGAACAAAGTGGCTATTTTCAAATATTTATAGGCCTATAATTTATACAATTTTGTTGAGCGCGAACTTATTTTTTTTTTTTACATTTTCCAAAATATTTTTTTTTCCAAAAAAAATTTTTTGGAACAAATGTTCCTTATGTTCTAAGTATAATATTGAAGCCCACGATTTTGCAAACAAAATGGTATATAGAACAGTATAATTAACATTGTTTTTAAACTTCTCAGATCCGTTTTAATAAAACCTTGCAAATTCGCAAAAAATAGGCAAACATTAAGGCCAAAACTAGGGGCACTCGGAGGGTTAAATTAACAATTTTTTGAATTTTCTCCGTAACCATTCACCGTACAAAAACACTTTGATATACTAAATTATTTGTTTTTTTAAGCTCTTTAAAAAGGTCTGGAGAAAATTTAATAAATTTGGTTTTTAAGGGTAAAAATTAGAAAACCCCATTTTTACCCCATAAAACAAACAAAGGGGTTAAACCCCTTTCTCATGGGCCGATCATGCTGGTTCGCGAACTCATTCAAGTTTATCCCGCCTTACACATTCAAACCAAATTTTATCAAAATCGGACAAAAATTACTTAAGTTATCGTCCGGACGAACATATATATAGTATATATATATATATATATAACATCTACTGTATAAAAATTTGAACGAATGGTGTTTTTGGCCTCTGGGGACATCAAAATGAAAAAGTAAATCCGTCCCGGGCCTAGGTCTTACCATGAAACCTACGGTAATAGCTACTTCCCTATAGGGAAATTCTCTAAAAGGGTAATTTTGCTTTGTACCGAAATTGCACTGTCACAAAAGTATTAACAAGATATAGTATAACAATGGGATTTTAAAAACTGTTGTAAATTAGCTAGATTTTTTCAAAACAAATGGAAAACTAGTGTATGAAAATGAACAGAACTGTTATCATTATTTATCATTGTGTGAGGACAGCAGATGTTTATTTTAAAGAAACAATAATTATTGGTTGAACAAAATAACAAGGAAAACCTCAACAAAAGACTTGTAACATGTGTTTATAACAAGCCATCCACAGTATACTAGCAAACTACAATATACAGCACAAAGCAGATATTGGAAAAATATCAATTGTTATTTAGCAAAGATTACTCGCGAGATCATAATAGTGGAAAATAGTTCTGATCAAATACTGATTATTTTTCTTGGCTTTTTCCTACCAAAACTAAATCCCCGATGTACTGAGGCAATCGTTAGCAAACTTGTTGTGCAGTGAAATAAATAATATTATATTTATTTTATACACAAATTTTTAATCAACTGTTTTAATTCAAACTGTCAAAATAATTTTTATCCAAGTATTAGACTATTATAAATGAGGGATTTTTTTCTATTGACTGTAAAATAAATTAATGTGTTGTAGATTGCCAGGTTAAAATTTCCATCATAATTAATTCAAATTCCACTGAAACTTAAATAATAAAAGCCTAAATTAGTTGTAAATATAACAAGAGTTCCCTTGATATTGCTTTTACAATCAAAATAAACTATACCAAGCCATTTCTCAGCCTCCAGGTACTATGTATATATAGTACATTGCATTGGTATTGTATATGTTACTTTGCATTGTAAATATATATATATTAGAGTTTAAGATAACTGGAACAAAAATTATGCGATTTTGCTGATATTTGGTGAACCTGCTACATTTATTCGAACGAGTTTACAAACCATCATAATAAGACTATGGGATTGGGGTTTTATGGGGTAGAAAAGGGGGTTTTCCTATTTTAACGACCAAAACAAATAAAATTTAGCAATTTCTTCCAAAACCATTTTGTAGAGCTTAAAAAACAAATAGTATTGTATATCGATTGAAGCGTTGTACAATAAATGGTTACAGACTATTTCAAATGTTCAAAATACCCTAAATTTAAATATTAATTTAATTCTTATGGAGAATATGTTAACTGGTTACAGTTTGCTTATTTATGGTTATATTTTAATCAAATTACAAAATGTTTAACTAAGCATATTTTACTCAAATGCCCCCGAAGCAGCAATCCTTCAGACTAAGCCGATTTCCATTTACCTGATTGGATTTTTACTAACATAATCTCTTAAAATTGTCGAATTTATTTTCTAAAAATATCATTAATCTATTTTGATTATAACTAAAGTTTGCTGCTCAAGGGAGAGAATAAAGTGTTTTTGTTAAAATTTTAATAGTTTAGTATGAAATAAACAAATTGGCCAGATTTGATCAAAATATACACCATGGGCGTCCATTTAACTTTTTCAAAAGGAGGCGCGGGAGATCAAGTGTGGTGCGCTATCGCCTCCTAGTAAAAAGGGGTACGAGGGAATTTTTTTTAATTAAGGAGCAAAGTAGTTCATTAAACACATTTTTGTACTTAAATTTACTTTGTCAATTTAATTTTTATTTTTCAGTTTTACTGCAAAACCGTTTAACATCAGACGTATATGCCCTAAACTAGCAAATTACAACAGTTTATTTATTTGTGCATTCGTAAGAATAACATTAGAATGTTAAATTTCCAGGTTTTTTAAAAATTTTTCCTATGACCGAAAAGTGTCTGTTTTAACGCTTAAATATACAAAATTATTTTTTTGTATAAGCTCTAAAAAAAAGGTTTAAAAAGAAATTGCAAAATTTATGTTTTAGGGGTAAAAAATGGGAAAAAACAACTTTTACACAGTAAACCCCCCTTATAAAACCTCATTCCCATAGTTGGATCAGGCTGATTCGAGATATAAGGTTACTTTTTTGTACCAAATTTCATCCAAATGGAATAATTTTTATGTGAGTTATTCTTGCTAATGAGCCCATACAAAAAATATATAAAGAGTCTCCCGGAACTCTCCTACCAACATTTTAGAGCATTGTTCCAGAGTAAGAGACATATCTAAATACCATATTTACGAGGCATGTTTTTTAAGTAAATAACGATTTTAAATTTCTCCGTTCCAGCGCTGCGATTGGCATTTTGGACATTCGCGCT